TTGCAAAGCATCCATTCTCTGTTTTTAATCAAGAAGTAGGACACACAAGAATTGGCTCGTGCACCAGTCGCGTATCTGAGATTACTTCTGGCTCCCATTCTATCTTTCAGCTCTATTTGTTTTTTTTTTTTTTTTTTGAGATTTTCATTTATGATAATGCAGTTCTTTAATTCATTGATGTCTATACATTTTCACTTCATCCCAAAAATGCTGTCATAGGAAAACAGTTTAACCTGTTGGAGTTGGATTTGTAAAGATAGTCCAACATTAGTAGTATTAGTATTGTTATTGTTCTTTTTGTCAGGTTTGAAGCCTGTTCATTCTCTTTTCTTGATGTCTTCATATGTTTTGCATATGCTTCATGTTTTTCAGAGAGCATTCTGCTAGCTGTTGTTGCATTGATTTTGTTCTGCACTGTGCTGTATTCTAACAAAAGTAGGAATGATGCAGTCTGGATGAAGTTTGCAGCATCAATTTGATTTTGAAATGGACAAGGGTCCAACAGGGCATTATCGTCATTGTTAGAATGGGTTACTTTTATTCTTTTTCCAATCAAAGTGGAAACACAGATCTTGAGCATTTTTCTTATAACTTGTTGGATTTCCCAAAATGTCACAATGATGCAAAGCACTCTCTGTTCAGATTCCAAGCCCATCAGCTTCCTGGCGCAGCTGCCCCCTGTATTTGCTGCTAATGCTTGAGTGGCATGTGGAACACTATGATCTCTTCTAAATCATTTTATTTTCCCACACATAGCAAAACAGGGTCTGGTGAAATGCAATATTTGCAGAGAACCTAAGCATAAGCAATGTCTGAAATTTGCGTGAGCCCAGACCACGGGCATCGTGTATGCTGAGGTGTTCTAGAGTTTGTGCATCCTTGAGAATCCTAGCGTGTTGATACAGGGTCAGTATAAGTATCCAATGAATTATTGTGTTGAAGAAGGAATAAACAAGGTAAAATAGGCCGTCATTTTGATGTCACTTGTTGAAGGAGGAGGATCAAGTTTGTAATGCTGTGCTGTCAAAAATTAACTGAGAGCCACTATAAAAGACATTTACAGCTGAAATGCCACAGCTGTTATGAACTACATTTAAAATTGATGGCTTGGCACATCATTAAAGTAAAGCAGCAATATTAGGCACAGCTACAAAATGCAATAAATTCCTAAATATAGGAGCAAAGCATTCATTTATTCAGTTTATCCAAAACCTGTCATTGTATATTGTGGTCTGTCATATGATCAGGAACCTGTGCTTGTAATATTACCCAAAAGAGTTTAGGCTATCCTGATAGGACTACCCAGTGGTGAGAAGTATTACATATTGCATGTGTGGTTAAATGAGATTAGCACAAAAGTAAATGTGTGTTTGGACTCAATGTGTGTTTACAGGGCCATAGTGGTTATTTTTGAAGGAAGCACTGAAAAGGGCTTAACTCGCAATCCTGTATACATTAAGTGAGGGAGTGTGCTGCCTGCCAGTCATAATGCCAATGATAAGTCTGCTCTTACATTAGAAGTTATGTGCATCTCTCAGTAGTATATCTTAATGCCTGTTGGAAATCATGTGAAGTGAGTCTGATGTCATTGGATAGTACATACACAACATATACATATACAATCACAACAGTTTATTGACTTTGGCTTTCTTTTTGAGTCAATTGAAACCATTAAGTATAGCGACAGAAAAAAAATAACTGCATCTGATTTCCTAGATAGAAATATTTTATATGCTTTTTGGGGAAAAAAGGAAGAAAAATATACCTCACAGCTGTGAATTTAGCAAGAGGGGCAGCAGAAACCTCTGTTTGCCCAAAAAAATAGTTTTGAATAGTCTTGACCTAGTTACGCACTGGTGAGGGGAGAACGAAATATTCTGGAAATTCATGACTTAATAGAGTACTTAATTACTGTGCTCTTACGGGAAATTGAAAAAAAGCATATTTGAACTATTTTCAAGATTATTAGCATGAATAATTTCTCACTGTATAGATTTTTATATTCTTAATAATTTGTCCGAGAGGAGGTAAAAACAACCTAGGTCAAGCCTCCTGTAACTCTTACATAATTGTATGAATGATGGGTCCTCTTGCCGCGGCAGTCTCCGCCACAGCATCACCCATTCGTCAGGATCACTGAACACTCTTAACAAAACAGCTCGCCCCGCTGAGTTTGGTATGAGCTAAGTCACTTGCCGGCTTTTCATCATCTTTAAGAAAGAACATTACACCCGGATTGAATAATACTAACTGGGTCAGTCTGAGAGAGCCCCACGTGAGCGGATTTGTTGAGTCAGGCAGGGCAAAAAGGCAAGTGGTCACATCGGGATAGTTTCAAACATATCTTAGCATGTTGCTAACAACAGGTTTTGCTGATGTTGTGGAGATCTTGTTCTCTGATCCCAATTGCAAGTGTGTTTTGAGTCTTTCACTTGTGGTTTCGTTAAATCCATGCTAATATGCTAATATATCATATGGGTGATGTTTGTTTGTTTGTTAAACAAGGAATATCCGTCATGATTTGACCTTAACTGCCTTTCATTTGACCTATATCCCATCAAGTGGGACAAATATTTAAAGATACCAATCCATTTTAAGCATGACAAAGGACATGTTCAGACAGTAATTAGACAATGCAACAGCTCCTAGTTCATGAAAAGTTGACACAAAATTCATTAATATGTGAGGTCCACGTATGGTGAAGTAATTTGAAATTAATTTCATAACATTACATAAAAAAGAAAAGTTCATTAGCTGAAGCCAATTCATCAACTAACATTTTAAGCTTATTACACCTTTGAGTAACTGGCTCATTATTGCAGGTATAAATGTGATTTTAAGGGAAATTACGATTTTAACGCAATAGTCAAAATGTCAGTGAAAACACTAAAACAGTTAACTACACAGCCAGACTTTGCAAATTGCACATAAATGGCAACTTCTCAAAGCAAGGGATGAACACAGGTCAGCCAAGTAGATGCTTCAAGACTTTCTCCCTGCATTGCATTTCTTACACCAACTAGCTGCAGGAGAACAAGACTATCTTGTGTTCAAAAGGTAATCCTGTGATGTATTACTCTCAAGGGCAGCAAGGAATTTAAACACCATCACAATTAGGACTAAGAGATGAAGCGCAGCTGTGATTTATTGCAGGGTTTTCATGGGATTTCATGTAACAAAAACAAGTCAGATATTCACCTCAAAAACATAAATGGAGATTAAGCTGTGGGGAGTGTTTAACCCACAGAGGTGGGATTTAGCATACAGTGGCAGTGTTTGGCCAACAGGGATGGGATTTGGAAGGACAACACTTTGGATGCCCCTTCCACCACCACCCCCTTTTCCCTACCCCCTTAGCACAGGATCAAAGAAATTCTTAAAGCTCTGCACACATTTTGAGGTTTAAATAACACAGAAAATATGGATTTACTTACATTTCATTTAGACACACCTGAAGCTAGTATGAACATCACCCCAGATGCCATCAACCACAGTGTTTCAAAGATATAACAAAGCCCATTAATGGCAGCAAGTTTTATGCCTTATGTTTTGATTTATCAGGCGATGTGAAAGTTCAGTCATGCAATCTCTAAAATATGCCTTGAATGATCTTGGGCCAATCATGTCCTTTGTAACCAAGTAATCATTAATCCACACACAAAGAAGACAGTGCTCAGTGGGGCATAGAGACAGAGGGTTCTAAGTCAGTACTGGTAGTTAGTGGAAGAGGGTTTTGTGGTCAGTACTCGGGGTTAGTGGGTAGACACACACACACACACACATATCCATTTCAATGATTGCTATCAACCGCCAGCCACCAAGTGAGCAATCCCTCATGGTTCTATTCTGTTAAGCATCAAACGGGCCGATCTAATGTGTCATCACTAGACCATGTGCCAGTTGGATCAGAAATTATGCAGATGTGTGTCAGCAGGGAGCGTACTGCCAGTATTCCTTTGTCCTGAGAACAGGCTAGCACAGGGTGGGCTGGTGCATTCTTGGAGAGTAAGTTCATAGCTGTATCCTTGGTCTTCATCATCATCATTGTCATCATCATCATCATCATCATCATCATCATCATCATTATCATCACTGTTTATCAGTTTGGCTAAATTGATAATATTATATTAATACTATAATATTATATATTGATAATATTCAATATCTCAGCATCTCAATATTCAGTATATTAACATTTTTCTTGATAATAAAGTGCTAGCATAACCACCCAGAATCTCTGTATTAATTCAGTCTGAATTAACATGCATTTGACTTCATTTTGGCCTTATCAGAATTAACAATACCCAATCCCCAAAAGTGGTGTGGCATAGCAAGTACTCTCGCTGCCAGGAATGAGTGGCTTGGCCTGTCTGTGTGTATGTGGGTGTGTTTGATTAATACAGCGTACCATTTATCTATGCAAAACTGTCATCAAGCACACAGTTCAGTTTAGCCATTAGTGCAGGAATGCACTGGCTGGGATATGTCTATGTCATCTCACTGGGCTTTAGTGTTCCCAGGACCACAGGAAATTTAGTGGGATCAGTTATAGTGGAAATATAATGGAATGCAGTGTTATAAATTAATGTTGGGTTTTATTTATTTAGTCATCTCAAGTCATTTCTTGACTATTTAACCGTTTTCTCTTTCCTGTGGAAATCCTGACAATTTCTGTTCTTCCCTTTAATAATCTAAAAAAGGAAAGAGAACTAGATTCCAGAAAGTGTCTGCTTCGTGATCATAAGCAGTCATCTTTTGACCAAGCATTAAGTTGTGTTGGTTGGGAAAGTGTCAGGAAATTCATGATACAGATTTCAAAAAGTAAGTCTCAGTAGGTCATTGATGTGTTGGACTCACAGCTACCATTTATTAGGTGTAAAATTACATGCAAGTGACTAGCTTTCCCTTCCCAATATCATTTGCTTACGAGGCCAGATTGTATATACTTTTTTCTTGTTCAGTGATCGATCAGCCAAGTTTTTTATCCCTTTCAGTTTGGTGGCAGTGTGGTGTAGTGGTAAACAAGCTGTCCCCAAAACCCAGAGGTTGTGTGTTCAATTCCCTGATGCTAATGATAGTTTATGAAAGCAAGTTACACTACATGAAATATTATTTTCATTGGAACTGCTCAGCTGTTCATCAATCACAGAAGAAACCCTTATTTATGTAAGGTTATATAATGAGCAAAAAAATGAATTGAGACCAGACGTTTTGAGCTTACAAATGCACTTGTAAATCTTCCAAATATTTGCTGTTGCTGCTGTGTGTTTCTAATTGCTATCGCAAGTTGGTGACTCATCCAAAGTGTTTAGAGTCTCATTCTCCCAAATAAAAAAAAACTGATTGAAATCAGGGTTTTAGGATCATTGCAAGTTTCAGAGTAGAATCATTAAAAATATATGTGCTGATGACATGGGGGTTGTGGTTTTGAATCCTTGGTGAAAGGCATTGCTGTTGTACCATTCAGTAAGGCAGTATACTTCCAACTACTCCATTAAAATCTGCATAAGCAAGCATAAGCTCTTTAAGGGTGTAAAATGGGTAACCATGTCACCCCAGGGAAGAGAACTCTGTTAAACAGCTTAGTAATAAAAGAAACTAAGGAAGGGTCTCTCACAGAAGAGCAACTCAATCTACACTGGTGAAGTTTAACCCTTTCTCGCGTATGGTCAAACCGGTGTGATTAGAACACTGGATTGGAAGAATTCTGCCTAACATTAGCTTCGAGGAAACAGTGATTTAACATTACAAAGTATAGCAAATGCAGCGGTGAAAACTATGAAAAGCTTACTAACGCTAATGAAAACATAATGTAACATAACACACACACACCACATAGCATAAAATAAGTCACGCATGAAAGGGTTAAGTGAAGTACGCTAAGACCGCATGAATTAAACATTTACGATTTCTCTGGCTGCGTAACTCTCTCCGTCCATGAGGCCACTTGGCATTTAAACATCAGAATCTCAGATAACGTGGTGCTTTCCAGACTGATCTCATCAACATGAAGCGATATGAATATACACTGGTAAATCCTCAGATTCCGGGAACGGCCACATCTGCTCCCACGAGGAATGTTGGCCCAGGTTCTGTGACGCTGTTGCTTCACTTTGCGCAGATCTCCCATTTGAGCCGGTGAGATCTGGGCCTCCCGGGAGGACCTCTTCGCATACGTGGCCCAGGTTTGGAGGGCACTGGGGTGGATGGTGAGGACCGCTTGGACTCTGCAGCACACATTACCGGCAGGCGTGGGAGCGCATATTTAATCAAGACGGGAACAGGCTGCAGACGGTGCAAAGCGACCATCTAGGCGGACCCGGTTTCCTTTGTCTGTTGGCATGATTTGAAGAGGAAGCAGGATTACTCTGCTTGCTCTGTGATAGCTCCTCCCATGTCTGTCTGTGGACAGCAGTGAGACTGCGTTGCACAAACGCATGAGTTTGCAATAGATTCCTGAACTGTCCGCACTGTTATTACAAGAAAATGAAATTAAAAGAAATTCCTGCAACCAATGCAACATCGCCTGTATGATGTAGTGCTTCCTGGATACCACAGCCAGGCAGTTGAAGGTGGATGCCCCCAGTAATAACACATCAATTAGTCATTTACTTTACTATTACATGCCTTTGTCAACACAAAGTACTAGTGATGGAGTGCAGGCACTACTGAGGGAGTACATCACAGTTCCATTTTAACCATAGCACCCTGAACAGTGTTTCTTAGGATGCCTGCATGATGCACTGACAGCATGTATGGGGATGATGAAATAAGACGGAAATATTTTCTCTGCCCCTCCATCAAAGACATTCTCCTGCCACCAGCAGCAAGGCATCGGCAGCCTCCTCACCACCTCATTCACTTAGACACCAACCACCGGACCCCACAAACTGCACAGACACACAGGCACACACGCACGTACACATACACACAACCATGTCCCAACATGGTGCTGGACTCAACGCTGAGCGACGTGTCTGGCTCCAGGTCAAGATGACCTGGCTCGTTTCTCCCCCCATCCGCCAGAGCCTTTCCTGTGTCCGACCCCCTCGCCCTGGGAATCTTTGCCAGACCTTCCTGAGTCTGAAAAAAAGACAAGAGCCCCCCCAGCACTCCAGCAGTTACAGCTGCAGCATGTCTAGGAAACAAAGGAGTCACTTATTACTGTTTTCCAAACAACGTTTTGGAAGAGATTATAGACAATTTCCAGCCAATTACCTGAAACCAGCACCACCTGTGATCCTTGCCATATCAATCCCGCATGCCTGTTTATTAATCACAGAAGAAACCCTTATTTGTGTAAAGTTATATAATAACCCATATTATTAGATAATAATCTATATATCTATATAATCTGTATAATATATATCTAATCTATATAATAATCTTATGTATTTTCGGCACTTTGTTCAGTGTCCTGCCCCTGCAAAGTCTGCGAAGGATTTGCACCTTTTATGTCAAGGAATTCCCCAAGGAAAAATGGCACCAGCAGTTTTTTCATCAGTCACACTTACGACACACATTTGATGCTACCTCATAAACTACCTCATAAACAACCTGGCAGGGGCTTCAGTAGATACCTGTGGACTACTGAAGTAAGACTCCTGCCATCGGAGTTCAGTTCTCTCTGTACGATGCAGCTCGTTCCTTTAAACACCTGTAAGTGTCAACACTTTTTCTGGAGTTTCTTATCTCTTAACAGCTGTGTGCAGTGACTAACAGGTCTTTGTCCAGTGGAAGATTCTGGGCCTCTAGGGGGTGGTCGTGGAACAAATTGTTAAGACACCTTAAAAATGACATTTCCAGGAATGGATACTTTGAGCTCAAACACACATGTACAGTACATGGATGAATAGAATGCAATAGGCAACAGGTGGTCAGTTGCCTCAAGTGTGGTTTCAGTTAGCATGCAGCTGTCCTGAGAAAATGCATGTCAGGTCCATAGTGAACATATTTTCCTGGTAAAAATACTGTATATGTAAAATATTTATTTGAGCTTTGACTTTGAACATTTTTAAAATTATTATATATATTTTTATAGGGGTGTGAAAGAGTTAGCCCAGAGTTTTTTTCCATTAAAGACAGCTGGCCCCTGATGCTTCAACACACTTTGTTTAATGTTAAAGCCTTTAAACTGCGGTCAAGACTATAGCTTGCCAACAGTGAATTTCCAACATATTCACTGCATGTCATGTCACTATGACATTCGAATTTTTGCTTATTCCAGCTCATCCATTTTCTCACCAAAATTATTCTCCCTTACCCACTTACCTGGATCTTGATTGACATTACCAAATACATCTCTCAGCTCTGCATATAGGGTCTGATGCTAAATTAAATCCACCTTTATGGTGCTGGCATTACATCACATGTCACATGGCTGCTCTGTCAGCAAAGGAAGCTGACCCAGTTAGGCATTTGAGGTGTTGCCTCTCCAGTACTGACAGACAAAATAAATGCAAAATAATCTCTCAGAGGACTGAAAAGAAACCTGAACAAAACAGCACAACATATTGTGCAATCAAAATTGCATAACATATTAACATATCAAATACTAAAGTATAAACAGTGGCCTCTATGGATAGAGGGACCATACTACACTTTTTGACATGAAGGCTACAATTTTGGTGGCAGAGAGACAAACCAGAGACAGGAAATTGCTCCATTGAGAAAAATGATCGCATACAGACATCTTCAGCATGCTTTACCTGCGAGGGCATTTTCCATCTTTGGATAGTTGATATTTAGGATATATGTGGAATCCTCACGCTTTTTAAACCGTACATACATAAGAAACACACTGAATTATAGCAATGAAGGAAACAACATAAGGTATCTGCTTATTACGAATGAGGGTTTCTCTGATCATTTTCTGACCCAAAACCTGTGATGTTTGGGGGAGGATTCTAGAATAACAGTACTGCAATTTGCAGGTCTAATAACTACCAGTCAAACCCCCTTATCAGTCATCAGAGCTTATTCTGCACCAAGACTATGTGTGCAGCAGAGAATCGTAAAAATCGGTGTAAAAAATATCACATTATTCTGAGGGTAGAGGGAAAGCAAACACTCCCAAGGCAAATATCATGCTTCCCTGCATCTGTATGGAGGATGTCTCCCAGTTGGACCACCGCTAACCAGGAGACATGGCTCTGGTGCAAAGCTGGCGGGGGGAGTGTTTGAGAGAGAGAGGCAGGAACGTCTCTAACTGCACGATCAGGTTGAGTTACACGTGCACGGAGCCCTGTGCTAGAAACAGCCGTCCTGATTTAGCTGCGAGGGACCCAACCTGCAAGAGGCAGCATAATGTTCACGGCCTAGAGGGCGTCCAGACGGAGCTGTTGAACCCTGAGCTGTATATATTAGCCTTGCTTGCCATTTTTAAAGGCGATGATGGAGGCTGAGATTAAGAGCAGATGTGTCAGACAGAGTACAAGGCATTAAAGTTTAAATGTTCGACGGAGGGGTCATCTGAACCCCCAAGCTCCAGCAGGGGGTAGATAATTCAACCGGCCTCCTGCTGGAGTTGGAATTTGTGGTTCATGTGGAGCAGCAGTTTGGGTCCGGAGGGTTGTAGGTTCAAGCCCTAGGCGGCACAAACAAGGTGTATTACCTCAGTTGCTCCCAGAAAAACAGCTGGACAAACAGGTAACAAGGAGACTGTGAGAGGAATTGATAGGGATACCTGCAAAGTTAAACTAACAGTGCTACTTTTAAATGCAAGACCTCTTCATCTGGTTACTACATGCTGAAATACTTTGACACCATCTTGAACTAAAGGTTATGATGCTACAACATACGGGAGATAAGCTTAACTATTTCATGTGTTATCATCAAAGTATCACCCATGAAGCAAAGAACAGCATTCTTCATAGTGGAGAAGTGTTTGTACGTGTATGCATGTGTTTGTGAGCTTGAATTCTTGAGTTTGAATGTTCGTTGTAGAGTGATGCCTACAGGAATGCCACATTAAATCAGAGAAAAAACTGTAGGATCTATAATATGTTGTTTGTCTTGAACTTTCAATTCACAAACTGTGTTTGTATGATCTGAAGAAAAACATTACAACAA